CTCCATTTAATTTGAAACATGTAAAACTGAATTTGAACTTGAGGAACTACGTTTTTGTGCATCATAGTGGTTAACCGGTTTTTGTGCCTCTAAAAAAAACATATTTGTTACTTGAAACAAACATTAACTGAAATAACACGTAAAAACCTTAAAAGTATTACAGTTTATGTTACAGCTAGTTGCCAAAGCAACATTTATCATGTTTATGCAGTTTAACTTATGGTACTAAAATAAGTGTATGTATTTCAATGATACTAAAATAACACTGCACCAAACATAACTGCAATAATGATACATTTTAAATGTTTTCCAAACACTCCCTTCATCTGCCGATTTCACCCCATTGCTTGAATGTGCCACAGAGCGAAAGTGGAGCTTTTTTGTGGAAATCAGACAACCATTTGTTTGCTTGTAGTTATAATACTCTGCACATTAAAATGGGATATGATTTAAGAATAATGCCATTTATTATAGTGTAGTAGTTTGGCTATCCATATTGGCCAAAATCTGTACAATCTTCTGGTAATTCAGAATACATTATAGTTTTGGGGTTTGGTCTACCCAGACTGTAAAGAGTTTTATTATGTGACATGAATCTCTTCAGACACACACACACACACACACTTCTGAGTGAGTCATGAATTGTTGAACCAATTCATTGAAATAATCAGTGAATAATAATAAATGAATCACTGAAAAGAAATGTTTGAATATATCTTAATATCCAAATATATCTTTATAAACAATAAATAAATCATCTTAATTACTAAATTAATATGAATTATTATTTAATTGTGAGACACGCTTAAAATCTTAAAAAATACTTGCATACATGTAATGTGACACAAAGAATGGGCTTGAAATACTAAAAAGGTTGTAAAAAAAAAAAAAGAACCAGCTTAACATACTCAGATTCACAGCTCTGAGAAAGCTGTCATACCTGAATATATTTCACGAGTAATGCGAAAGTGTAAGATGCCTCTGTCATCAGTTTTTTGGTGTTTTCGTAGTTTTGTGTGTAACCAAATCCGTTGATTGACATTTTGCACTAATCTCTCATAACGCAGTTGTCTTCCCATTTAACTGACAGGCCAGTGGCAGCAGCGGTGGATTTATCTGAAAGCTGAGCGGTTCCAGGGCTTCCACATAAGCGTTACTGTCAAACCCGAGCTCAGTTTGCCCCTCTGGGGAAAACGCAAGCCATTTAGAGCAGTTTACAGTCATGTTTTCCTGTACTGACTTGTGTTAGCAGTGGAAACACTGAGAAACAATGTTGTGAAGGGAGACTCAGGGCACGTTCGCTTATCGGTGATTGATTCTTACTCTTGTGCTTGTAGTACACTGGATGGGCTGAACAGTACATGTCCAGAACAGATCATTTGAGAATGTGAAACTTAAGAATCCTGCTCAGAGCAGGAACGTTGATGTACCCTTAAGACTGCAATTTTGATCCCTGCAAATGAGCTATCAAATGTACAATGTGCCAACCAATTCATTGAAATAATCAGTGAATAATAATAAATGAATCACTGAAAAGAAATGTTTGAATATATCTTAATATCCAAATATATCTTTATAAACAATAAATAAATCATCTTAATTACTAAATTAATATGAATTATTATTTAATTGTGAGACACGCTTAAAATCTTAAAAAATACTTGCATACATGTAATGTGACACAAAGAATGGGCTTGAAATACTAAAAAGGTTGTAAAAAAAAAAAAAAAGAACCAGCTTAAAATACTCAGATTCACAGCTCTGAGAAAGCTGTCATACCTGAATATATTTCACGAGTAATGCGAAAGTGTAAGATGCCTCTGTCATCAGTTTTTTGGTGTTTTCGTAGTTTTGTGTGTAACCAAATCCGTTGATTGACATTTTGCACTAATCTCTCATAACGCAGTTGTCTTCCCATTTAACTGACAGGCCAGTGGCAGCAGCGGTGGATTTATCTGAAAGCTGAGCGGTTCCAGGGCTTCCACATAAGCGTTACTGTCAAACCCGAGCTCAGTTTGCCCCTCTGGGGAAAACGCAAGCCATTTAGAGCAGTTTACAGTCATGTTTTCCTGTACTGACTTGTGTTAGCAGTGGAAACACTGAGAAACAATGTTGTGAAGGGAGACTCAGGGCACGTTCGCTTATCGGTGATTGATTCTTACTCTTGTGCTTGTAGTACACTGGATGGGCTGAACAGTACATGTCCAGAACAGATCATTTGAGAATGTGAAACTTAAGAATCCTGCTCAGAGCAGGAACGTTGATGTACCCTTAAGACTGCAATTTTGATCCCTGCAAATGAGCTATCAAATGTACAATGTGCCCAGTGCCAAACATCTCTAGAGCGTTTTTCTCATAGAGTTGTGCCAGGCCACCATTGTTGTGCCAGGCCCATTACACTTTGGCTTTATTAATACTGCTGATGGATTAGGAAACAGAACAAAACTTCATTTGTTAAGGATCTTTTTTTTTTTTTTTACTTTAAGCAATCAATGTAGTTTAACCTTCAACTTCTGGTTCACTTAACAAGGTGATAAGATAAGATAAGATAAGAAAGCTTTTGTAATTTTGTTTCAGTATAGTCTGGGTGGACTCGATAGGATGTTTTTTTTGTGTGTGTATTAGAGTACACTCTTAAAAATAAAGGTGCTTCACGATGCCATAGAAGAACCTTTTTGTCTAAATGGTTCAATAAAGAACCTTTAACATCTGAAGAACCTTTCTGTTTTACAAAAGGTTCTTTGGGGCGAAAGAAGGTTCTTCAGATTACAAAAAGGTAAGAAAGAGATGGTTCTTTAAAGAACCTTTGACTGAATGGTTCTTTGTGGAACCAAAAATGGTTCTTCTATGGCATCGCTTGAAGAACCTTTTGAAGCACCTTTATTTTTAAGAGTGTATGTGTATCTGGAACATCAAACTCGTTGATTTCGAAAGAACATGAAAATCCTGTTTTCCATGATAAGATTTTTTTAAATGCAATTCTTTCTTCATACTTCCCCCCTGGTCTGTTCGGGTGAAATGAAGGTTTGAGTGAGCCTCTCTCTCTGACCTCATCCTCTGTCAGAAGCTGTTGGGATCAAGTGTGTTGCCATGGCTCCAGCAAACCCTCCGTCCCTAGAGAACCGTGTGTAGAGGTGACGGGAGTTTTCAACACTCCAGAGAGAAAGCCTTAGCTGGAGGCCTCTTTTAAAGGAATAGTTCACTCAGAAATGAAAAATCGGTTATCATTTACTCACTCTTGTGTCGTTCCTTTTCCATGCAGTTACAATGAGGAAAAAAGCTTAGCAAAAACACCATAAATATTATACAACTTAAATATTACACAACTTTACGACTGTATTTTAGTTCAGCTCAGATTCACACTCTCTTTGACATACATAACAGAATCACTTCCTAAATTACTTCATATTTACAGCATATTTATATACGTATACATCTAATGTTTTGGTCAGCCATAGCCTAGCTAAGGAACGTTTTAAAAGGTCAAGCTGATTTCACAGAAGAATAACCCGGGAACTAAAGAGGGTTGATGAATGCACAAATGAATGCACACAGAGGGGGATTTATTATGAGCGAATTGCACCTGCAAAAACTATAAGCATTGTTTCAGCATTCATTTAACAAAATGTATCATGCAAATCAGATTATGGTGCAAGCACACCCACAAATGTAGTTTTCAATGGTCAGTTGTGTCCTGTACAAAGAAAAATGCAGTATATACATAAAATACGCAATATTTTAATGAATTCTATTATTTAATATTTTAATTTTAAAAACCCAAAACTATAATAAAATATAAAAAATAAAATAAGTTTAAGTTGAAATACTAAAGGGACTAAAACTGAAAATATAAAAATAAAAGCTTGTTCAAAATATGAATAAATACTATAATAGTATATAAATAATACTAAAATAATGTACTTATATATTACTTAAATAATACTTCATATGAAAGAGTTTTGAGTCTGATTAAGTTGAGCTAAAGTTCAGAAATAGGAAGTTTATTATTACGTAATAATATGGGACCCTGAACCACAAAACCAGTCATAAGAGTAAATTTTTCAAAATTGAGATGTATACAGCTCCATCTAAACACTGAATAAATAAGCTTTACATTGATGTATGGTTTGTTAGGATAGGTCAATATTTGGCCCAAGATACAACTATTTGAAAATCTGGAATCTGAGAGTACAAAAAAATCTAAATATTGAGAAAATCGCCTTTAAATTTGTCCAAATGAAGTTCTTAGCAATGCATATTACTAATCAAAAATTAAGTTTTGATATATTTACAGTAGGAAATTTACAAAATATCTTCATGGAACATGATCTTTACTTAATGTCTAACTAATTATTTTTGGCATAAAAGAAAAATCTGTCATTTTGACCCATGCAATGTATTTTTGGCTATTGCTACAAATGTACCCCAGCGACTTGAGACTTTGTGGTTTTGTGATCCAGGGTGACATATGTGTGATTCAATGACTGTTAAAATACAATATCCTCCATCAAAGAGAAATATACAGTATATACTGTATATCTGCATATATTGTTATCCTTTTCAATTTAGCACCAAGTTAGACCTGTGAGAAATCCTCATTTCATATGTACCACCTTCTCTGTGATGAAACCAAATCCCACATCTGCTGTGCTGGATAAAATCACCTGCATTAGTCCGCCTCACTGCCATATCACATAGGGGAGAGGTTTGGGTGAACAGCAATGAAAAAATCACACCGCTGATCATTCATTATAAGTAAGACATACATATGCAGTGCTTTAATGTGCAGATGGATGTTGAAGAAGCAGCCTAAGGTGGAAGCTTCACACAAGTAGACACCTGCCTTTGTCAGAAGACGGGGGACGCATGGTATGCAGCCCGACGCTGAGATCAAGTATGATTGAGATACCGAGTTAGTAAAACACTGGTAGCTAATATTTTTGTCAAACAGCTGACGGGAATCTGAACTGTACAAAACCTCCAGTCTTCATAAAAACAGTATGGCGGTACCTGCCCAAACAGCGCTCTCATCTGTGCCTAAGGTACATGTTTGGAGCCCCACTTGATTTCTGTTCTGCCAGTAACGTGTGGCATGAAGCCAGAACCCCCAGATAGCTGGAACTGCCCCCAACAAACCCTCTGCTGGTGAGGTTACTGCCTCACCAGAGCGGTTTATAGACCTCTGCTGTTTTCACAGAGAAAGAACAGAGGAAAAGTCGGATAACAAGTTCAAAGCGAGATTAGTGATACTTAGGCTAATAGGTTTTAGTCATCAAACACTGTACGTCAGTCATTTGAATTCCACAGTTTCGTTGTTTTCAAGTATCTTTTTTTTGTAGATCGGATATTTTTGTACATTTCAAAAAGTATCTTCGAAAATTGTTTGTTCGCAGGTCTGGGAAATAGCAAAACATAGGGGGATTCTGGGTAATGGCGTCTTTGTCTCAACACAGAAGTCTTTGTTTAGGTCCGTCGGTCAATTTACACCACGCAAAAGAGCAAACCAGGCTAATCTGACTCAAATTGCACCCGGGCGCATGAGGGTTTAAAATTCAAACAAACCCTTAGGAAAGAAACAGTAGTGAGATCTATCTATCAGTTGTTCATCCTAGACAGCAATGAGTTAAAAGAAGAGAAAATGGAGACTTTGTTGAAGTCTCTTGCGTCTCTGACTTTTCTGCTGAGAAGAGATTTCAGGACTTTCAACAATGTATTAAACTGTGCTCAGATGTGTCAAGATGCAAATGCCTATAATCAAAAATCATAGAACATAGTATGAACTCAAAATTATACAAACTGAGAACTCATAATGTGTCCTGAGCTATAAAAGAGCATATCTATAAGCAATATATATCAATTTTTTATTATACTCCTACAATAATTTTTCATTAGCAAGCTATGTATTATATGTATAAAGAAAACGAAAGCCACTTCAGTCAAGAGAAACAATATAAAGACTTGTTTCTGGAATAACATGCACTAATGAATCATGAACAATAAACCCAGGAACATATGTTTCGAAGGTATTCAGTCAATTTTGAAGTCATGTTCCAGGTCACTCTGCTAATATAACAATACGTTTGGTCTCATTCAACAAATCGTGAACCATGTCTTATCAATGCTTTTTGTGATTTTTCGGATTTCTAAAAAACAGTGGTTTTCTGCAGGGTTTGGCAGCTGGAGTGTTGTTATTCTACTCCACTGATTAAGAGGTCAGATAAATGAGTTGGTCAAATCAAGCAGCATGAAGCTGAGCTCCTAAATCAATACTTGACCCGGTATGGGACCCTGAAACACAAAACCAGTCATAAGAGTAAATTTTTCGAAATTGAGATGTATACAGCTCCATCTAAACACTGAATAAATAAGCTTTACATTGATGTATGGTTTGTTAGGATAGGTCAATATTTGGCCCAAGATACAACTATTTGAAAATCTGGAATCTGAGAGTACAAAAAAATCTAAATATTGAGAAAATCGCCTTTAAATTTGTCCAAATGAAGTTCTTAGCAATGCATATTACTAATCAAAAATTAAGTTTTGATATATTTACAGTAGGAAATTTACAAAATATCTTCATGGAACATGATCTTTACTTAATGTCTAACTAATTATTTTTGGCATAAAAGAAAAATCTGTCATTTTGACCCATGCAATGTATTTTTGGCTATTGCTACAAATGTACCCCAGCGACTTGAGACTTTGTGGTTTTGTGATCCAGGGTGACATATGTGTGATTCAATGACTGTTAAAATACAATATCCTCCATCAAAGAGAAATATACAGTATATACTGTATATCTGCATATATTGTTATCCTTTTCAATTTAGCACCAAGTTAGACCTGTGAGAAATCCTCATTTCATATGTACCACCTTCTCTGTGATGAAACCAAATCCCACATCTGCTGTGCTGGATAAAATCACCTGCATTAGTCCGCCTCACTGCCATATCACATAGGGGAGAGGTTTGGGTGAACAGCAATGAAAAAATCACACCGCTGATCATTCATTATAAGTAAGACATACATATGCAGTGCTTTAATGTGCAGATGGATGTTGAAGAAGCAGCCTAAGGTGGAAGCTTCACACAAGTAGACACCTGCCTTTGTCAGAAGACGGGGGACGCATGGTATGCAGCCCGACGCTGAGATCAAGTATGATTGAGATACCGAGTTAGTAAAACACTGGTAGCTAATATTTTTGTCAAACAGCTGACGGGAATCTGAACTGTACAAAACCTCCAGTCTTCATAAAAACAGTATGGCGGTACCTGCCCAAACAGCGCTCTCATCTGTGCCTAAGGTACATGTTTGGAGCCCCACTTGATTTCTGTTCTGCCAGTAACGTGTGGCATGAAGCCAGAACCCCCAGATAGCTGGAACTGCCCCCAACAAACCCTCTGCTGGTGAGGTTACTGCCTCACCAGAGCGGTTTATAGACCTCTGCTGTTTTCACAGAGAAAGAACAGAGGAAAAGTCGGATAACAAGTTCAAAGCGAGATTAGTGATACTTAGGCTAATAGGTTTTAGTCATCAAACACTGTACGTCAGTCATTTGAATTCCACAGTTTCGTTGTTTTCAAGTATCTTTTTTTTGTAGATCGGATATTTTTGTACATTTCAAAAAGTATCTTCGAAAATTGTTTGTTCGCAGGTCTGGGAAATAGCAAAACATAGGGGGATTCTGGGTAATGGCGTCTTTGTCTCAACACAGAAGTCTTTGTTTAGGTCCGTCGGTCAATTTACACCACGCAAAAGAGCAAACCAGGCTAATCTGACTCAAATTGCACCCGGGCGCATGAGGGTTTAAAATTCAAACAAACCCTTAGGAAAGAAACAGTAGTGAGATCTATCTATCAGTTGTTCATCCTAGACAGCAATGAGTTAAAAGAAGAGAAAATGGAGACTTTGTTGAAGTCTCTTGCGTCTCTGACTTTTCTGCTGAGAAGAGATTTCAGGACTTTCAACAATGTATTAAACTGTGCTCAGATGTGTCAAGATGCAAATGCCTATAATCAAAAATCATAGAACATAGTATGAACTCAAAATTATACAAACTGAGAACTCATAATGTGTCCTGAGCTATAAAAGAGCATATCTATAAGCAATATATATCAATTTTTTATTATACTCCTACAATAATTTTTCATTAGCAAGCTATGTATTATATGTATAAAGAAAACGAAAGCCACTTCAGTCAAGAGAAACAATATAAAGACTTGTTTCTGGAATAACATGCACTAATGAATCATGAACAATAAACCCAGGAACATATGTTTCGAAGGTATTCAGTCAATTTTGAAGTCATGTTCCAGGTCACTCTGCTAATATAACAATACGTTTGGTCTCATTCAACAAATCGTGAACCATGTCTTATCAATGCTTTTTGTGATTTTTCGGATTTCTAAAAAACAGTGGTTTTCTGCAGGGTTTGGCAGCTGGAGTGTTGTTATTCTACTCCACTGATTAAGAGGTCAGATAAATGAGTTGGTCAAATCAAGCAGCATGAAGCTGAGCTCCTAAATCAATACTTGACCCGGTTTATTGTTGACTGTGTTGTGCTGTACGGTACAAGGCACACAGTTATTGTGCTCAAAGTCAGGTGATATAGATGATTTTTTTCTCAAATCAGTTGTAAAACCATTCTTCCTTAAGTTATCAGTTCAATGCAACAGTTCATATAAGAAAGGCTGCATGAACAGTTTACGTAGACATTTGTTAGTTCTGTTTCATGAATGAGACCCATTAAAGAAAGTAAATTCCCTAGTTGATTATGTGGCATGAGTGTAGGATTAGACATATTTTCCACAGACATGAATTTCAACTAATTAATCCAATTAAAAAAAAAATTAAATATACATTTTGCTCTTAAATCTTGAATCTAAATCTAAATGTTCTAAAAGTTTGATTAAAACTCAAATTTTTAATTAAACATAAATTTAAATCCTACATATAAATCTACATGTCAAATCCTAATATAATTCTCTAATTATGCTGTAAATATGAAAAATAAAAATATAGATGTTAAGTGTAAATCTTAAATGTAAGATTTATAAGTAATTATCTAAAAATAAGTAAATAAAAAAGCATGCCATACAAGTATACAAAGTGAGTATATATACAAGTGGTTCCAGATTATGAGCGAGATGTGTGTTAAAAGCACCAAGCATGACCACAGATATCCATCTGAATAATACCTCACACCATCATATCCTGCTAAAAACAAGCCAGATTAATGTGGCAAAATACACTTAAAGAGTGTGTTTCCCTTGAAAGACAGACTCCTTTTTTTAAGATCTTTGAAGGTGCTTTTGTCTACTCTGGTCCCCTGATGGGTTTTGTGTCTGATACCACACCCTTTAAGATTCCCATTCTATTCACCCTTCACATTTCCTGAGAAACTAATGAAATATGCCTACGGCTAGAAAACAGACAGAGTGAAAAAAAAATTGTATTAAAGAAATTTTATATAGGTATAAGTGTATAATTTTGAGTAATTTTTTAAACTATGGGCACTTTTGGTGTGTGCTTTTAAAATATAAACATTAAAACACACTTTTTTACGCTCTTATTATTAGAAGATGAATTAAATAAACTGCTAACAATGGCCAGCATCATATGACATTTGTCATCCTTGTCGTGTTGTTATTTTTTATTTATTTTCAATGATATTATTATTATTATTATTTTACAACTGTCATGATCAAATATAATTTCCACTTTCCACAACATTGAATTTCTTTATTTGTATTTCTTTATTTCTTTACAAAAATAAAAATAAAACAATAAAATTACATGTCTTGTACTTCTTTGCCTTGCGTAACCTGGAGACTTTTCCCTTCAGGAACTCAAGCTGCGTCGAAATGCTATGGGAACGAGTATGCCCACGCCACCAGACTTACAAATCCCTGCCTAGTGTGGTAAGCTAAGGCGAGAGAACAGAAGAGCCAGGAGTGGCTCGCATATCTAGGCCATAAAACCTGGCGAACATGAGGGGCGTGGACCAACCCGCAGCGTTGTAGATGTCCTGCATAGACACACC